TATCATTGTAGTCTCATCAGAATTCATCATTGTTCCTGTTTCAATGGTATCTCCAACAACAACAACAACTACAAAGGCATTGCTAGAAATTCCAGAAAATACACAATCATTATCAGACATTAGTCCTTCATCCTCCCTCAAAGGAAAAACTAAATCATCCAGGTCCTCCAAAACAACAAGTTCGAAGAAAAAAGAGAAACCCTCGCAGCTTAAGGAATAGCAGATAAGCTTATGGAAGAAGTAGCTTTGCTGCACAATGAAGAAGAAGACACAAATTCAGACTCATCAGACGCTTCGTCTCAACCCGTCAAGTGGGCAGATTACCCGGATTCTTAAGACCCATTTGAAATTTGAAATTTTGAAAATGTAATAATTTGTAATCATTTCAGGGTTTTACCTATGTAAATCGCACAGTAGAAGCCATGTGATTTTTCATAGAAAGTAACATCAGCAATGGTAGCAATCATTCAGACATAACACTATTCATGAATAGTAAAATCACTTTTTACTATTCATCCATCATTTCAGCCAGCAGCAGCGTGAATCCACAGGGAAAACATCATCATTTGCTCATCTTTACAGTCTTTGGCTCATGCAAGCGACAGTTAGTAGCGGGATTGCCGACCTCAATCATCTCATTTCTCTCTATAAAATAAGAATTCATTTTCAGAGGAAGAAGACTTTTAGTCGAAAATAGCTGAGACTTCTGTGAATTCTCTTAAGAACAGAAGCCATTATTCAGATCCATCCCACATTCAGTAAAAATTATCAAACACTTGTATTTTATTTTCAATCAAGGATGCATGCGAGCACCAATGTTTTCCTTATCAATCTTCACTAGAAGAAATTGTAAGTTGGTTTCCAATTTGAAATAAAATTATTTTCAAATTCATATCTGCATAATTAATTTCATTATGAAGAATATTTTCATAACCACTAATTTTGAATGGCACAAAATTTTTACTCAGAGTCAATTTATTGAGTATCTCAAATTCAAGGTAAATACCGATCGATCATTCATTGTCTTCTTCCTTATTGTTTTTAACATTTGGTATGATATATGCACTCCCAATGAACATAATGAATGTAGTCTTGGTTGTTGTCCTCATAACTTTTACTATCATCAATAGATATAAGCGTCCTTATAACTTTTACTATCATCAATAGATATAAGCTCCGCACCCATTTGGTATCAGAGCCAAGTTAGTGGTAATTGCATTAGCATCTTTTAATCTGCAAGTCAGGTTCATATTCAAGCTTTCAATTTACTATCATCAATATATAAATATATATATATATATACACACACACATGATAGAAATGAAAGGACTCACTCACCTTAGGTTCGCGCTACAACTCCCAAGCACGAATATCTAGATGTCTCGAACAATCGGCGCCTAGAACAATTATCAAATCACATCTCATAATTCTTATCGATAGAATACATAATTTACATAAAACACACGCCTACGATTCGATCAGGGAGATCCGTATCACGGATTTCCGATCCGTTACTTCCAAAGATCCACATTATACTTCTAGAATATAATACTAAAGTTTCATTACGATTCAACGGTTGGATCTCCACCAATTGCCAATTCAAGTGGTGATCAACGTTTTATTTTACGAACTTACAAATCCACTTTGGGAAGATCCGCAGGTCAGATTTTCAATCCGTAAATTTCTAATATTATCAAATATTACCTACTATAATATATTAAAATTTGGGGACGATCCAACGGTCGAATCATCAATTCATGCAAGGATCTCTTGATGGCCAACTAGGTGGTCAACTATGAAACTACATTAAACATCATAATTTCCCTAAACGGATGTCAAATATGGAATCGGGCCTTCAAATTTAGCCTAGGTGGAGTCTCGGCCCACGCGCCACCACACGTGGTGGCCAACCGCCATTGTTCGCCAGAAAATTCCACTATTTTTAAAAATTCTCAAATTTCACAGAAATGAAGATCTCAAAGAGAGGAACAACTTTCATACCTGCCCCGAAGTCCAAAAGTGGATGGAAGATATTCAATTTTGCCCACAAAGCCGGCAGGTGCCTAAAGCTTCCCGATGTCGATTTGTCGTCTACGGTGGTACAATGGGGTCAAGGTTGGTTGAGATTTTCTCCTGAGATGATGGGCTACAAAGCCCAAGTGGTGGCATCGGCCATCGCTTTGCCAATTAGCCGAAAAATGGAAAAGGGTGGTCGGAGCATTGTTGATTTTCGTCGACTTTCGTGGCCTCAAACCGCCACATACCATGGTTAATCAAGGTAGTTCTTGGGTGGGTTTTGTAAAGAGGAATGAGAGCTTCAAGATGGTGATGGTGGTGTCGAAAAACTCGGCCAGAGTTGGCCGGAATCGGCCTTGGAAGATGGGTGGTCGCGATGGGTTGTGCACAGGTGCATGGAAAGCTGGGAGCTTTTTATTTTTTATTTTTTTTTCTTTTTCCTGATTTCTGATTGGGCTGTTGCCCTTTTTTCCCTCTTCTAATTGGTTCCTTGTCCCTTTAATTTAATTGGTCCACTATTCCCATCTGATGGGAGTTCAAAATTAAACCAACAAGCATGGATGAAAATATCGATATTATCGGCGATATTTCGCCGATAATATCGTTTTTTTTAGATAACGATATTTTTACATATATCCACTTAATTATCGTCCAAATATCGCGATATTTTCGATATTTTCAAGATATTTTCAATATTTTCGCGAGGAGGATGCTCCGACGAGGAAGAAGAAGGAGCAGAGCTGGAAGAGGCGGAGGAGGGCTTACTGAACGGTGGAAAGGGAGTGGAGCCGCCGGAATCCGCCGAGCGCGAGGACTCCTCTGGACCGAAGGTGCCGAGCCAGACCCGGGTCTTCTTCCACGGGTCACGGATCTCGGCAGCAAACCAGCCCCACGGTCTTTTCCGAACGGTACCGGACCTCTTTTCCAATACAGGGTCTGGATCCGGTGGGTTCGGCCGGCGGCGCTGCGGGTCTCGTAGCGGCTCCTCTTCCCCTCCTCATGGCCAAGAATCGGGCTTTTTAGAGTCTGATGGTCATAGAAAGAATTGGGTGTTTGAGAGATTTGGATTGGGAAAATTGAAAGATGGGTTTTGCAGAGACAGGAAGAGAAGAGAGAGAGAGAGAGAGAGAGAGGATATGGGGGAAGGTTTTCTTAGAGGGATGGGTGGGAGAAGAACCGGATAAGATGGGTTTTGCAGAGACAGGAAGAGAAGAGAGAGAGAGAGAGGATATGGGGGAAGGTTTTCTTAGAGGGATGGGTGGGAGAAGAACCGGATGGCACTAGCACCACCTTCCCTTCTTCACAAAAAATATATAAATAATAATGATTTTTTTGGTTTTTGGTTTCTGGGATTATTTATTTATTTTTTTTTTTGGGTTTCTGGCTGAGATAAAATTGGCTTTTTTTTTTTTTTTTTGAACTTTTTTCCGGGTCAAATTAAAGAAATAGGGTATTTTGGTTGTTTCTTTTTCTTTGGTTTCTTTGTTCCTTCCTTTCTCGATTAGTGTAGCTTCTGTTGCCCCCACAAACCGACCGGACTCGATTTCTTTGCTTCTCCCTTTATCATTCTCGTCCTCCCATTTTATTGTTTTCAAGTTTCGTAAATTATGAATTTTCGTTTCTTCCCTTTTCGGCTTTTCCACCGCGTTCCAAATCTAAAATGTTTTATGTTATTTAGCAAAACGATTATTTTTTGTTCTTTGTATTTTTAAGTCAAAGTCAAACAGTGTCCTAAGTTTGACATCAAATTATCACGAATTCAATATCAATTTTGTTTTGTTGGTTTTTTTATGTGTTTAAGTTTACATATTACAATTAAATGATAATCATCTTTATTTGTAAGTTAATAAAATCTTAAATTGGATGCCAATTTATCACAAATTCTATACTAAATTATCAATGTTAGCACTTGTGTGGCATGACCAAAATCCACACTCCTACATTAATTACTACATATTTTCTACTTTCACAATGTTTGTCAGCTCGCTATATAATCAACTTGATAATGTTAAATTCATCATGCAATGCATTTCCTTCCAATTTTTTGTGATAAACTAATAGATAATTGACTAAATAAACATCCTGCAAAGTTTCAATAAAAATTTCCAAGTTTTTCTTACAATTTCCGTGGTTTCCATGTAATTTTTATCGATATCGATATTATCCCGATATTTCCATCGATATTTCCGTGTTTTCGGATTACCGATATTTCCGATATTACCGATATTTTCTTCCTTGCCAACAAGTAACAAATTTCAAATGTCCGTAACTATACCGTTATAATCCGGACTCGCAAACGGCTTTCGCCTATGCGTTCGTACCAACGAGTACTACGAGGATATGCTACAAGAATAAGTCATATGTCTCTATAACCAATGGTCAACGGAAGTCAAAGCCTTCCCCTCTAGGGTATTTTCGTAAATTCACATTTTAAAAATTTATAAAAACGTAAAGTCAGGGACGGGTCGTCACATATATGTACAAACAAATTTGATTATAGTAACAAATAGGAATGTGATATCCACACACCCTATTTTACTTCTCACACACCTTTTTAATTTTCGGCCGTCGGATCGGATGAATTAAAGAATATCAACAGACAGAAATTACCAAGGAGTGTGTGAGAAGTAAAATGAGATGTGTAGATAGCACACCCCTAACAAATATTATCATCATTATTAACCCACTTTTTATGCTGTGAATAATTAAACAATCTTTAAATCTAATGATTTTTTTTAAAATATGATCTTCAAATAAGATAAAAAGAAAATGGACAGTTTGAATTATGACATGTGGACGATGACACACTATCTTGTCATTATGTAACATATACAATTATATGTACATTATTACATAAAAAAATAGCGATTGAGTTTGCCAAGATGGAATCCTGTCCTTTATACTAATAAAGAGGCAAACACTAACTTAGGACCACATGAGTTGTCGTAAAAGTTAAAAAAAAATAAAAATAAAAATGATTGATCTGATAAATCATTAATAAACCCTCCTCCATCAGGAGGAAAGACCACCACTACATAATTACATGATTTACATCTTACTACAACACAGCTAGAACGCTTCCCACGTTCTCTCATCCATCTTCCTGAGATTTTTGACCTTTTTTCTGACGGGTGGGTTGTGCAAAGTTCAACAACAATGGTGAGGAGACTGATGGAAGCATGTTGTTTGAAGGACAAGGAGAAGGGAGATGACGATGAGAAGCCAGATTACATGGTGAGTGGGGGCAACAGAATCAGAGGAAAAGTTGTGTTGATGAAGAAGAATGTGTTGGACTTCAACGACCTCAAAGCTTCGGTCGTTGATAGAATCCATGAGCTCTTGGGCAAAGGTGTTTCCATGCAGCTCATCAGTGCCACTCATCCTGAACCAGCAGGTCAGTCTCTCTTTCTCTAGCTAGGTTTCTTCAGTTGAATCGAATTAACAATCCACTAAAATTCTTTGAGTTTTTCACACGTAAGCTCTAGGTAACTTTACATTTTCGAGAAAAATACATCAAACCCAATACGTCGGGTAAAAAAACCCAACTGACTTGGTAAATGGAATAGATGTGAGGCCTATTTCTCTAATTGATCCGTTGATGTGTGTTTTTTTTTTTTTTGTTTTTGGAAAACTTATAGCTGTCAGAGTATTTTTTCTAGTTTACTAAAATTCTTTTGTTAGGTGTTTGCAATTCATGAATTTAATCTTGAAACCTACATAACTGGTCGCAAAAGCTATGTTGAAGAAGAGAAGTACATTAGGATTTTGACAAAGCTGAAGATTTGACTCAAAATTCTTATTCATGTGCAGCAAATGGATTGAAATCGAGAGGGAAGCTTGGAGAGGTAGCTTACTTGGAGAAATGGGTTACAACGACTACATCTTTGTCGGCCGGAGAAGCTAGTTTCTCCATTTCCTTGGATTGGAATGAGTCTCATGGTGTTCCCGGGGCATTGTTGATCCGAAACCACCACCATAGCCAATTCTATCTCAAGACAATAACATTAGAAGACGTTCCTGGGCACGGTCAACTCCATTTTGTCTGCAATTCTTGGGTATACCCAGCACATCGTTACAAGTACAATAGAATATTTTTCCCCAACAAGGTACTGGTTAATTAACATAATGCCAAGTATAACATCCATTAGGGAGAGACAGTTCACTAGTTTTTTTTTCTTTTTATAATTTTTATTTAAGAAAGAAGAAATCTGGAATCTTGTAGCTCATGCAGCATGCTTTGTTATTCTTTGATTAAAATAACAAGTAAATAAAGGTTTAGTGACTTGATCAATTGGTTTTAGCATCTGATCTTATCCGAACCATGTGGTCAGATTCTGATCGATCCTTTTAATCTCAATAGTATGGAAAAATCATAATCCATTACTTTTCCAGCTGGATTAGCACTCGCACTTAAAAAAATCATTTTATATTATGTTTGATTTAATTTTTTCTAGTTTCATTAAATCTTTTGGTATTTTGACAAATATAAGATACAACATTAGTTACATTCAGTGGCTTTTTTTGTGGAACACAATTCAACAATTTTCAAAAGTTTCGATAAATTGGTTTTTCTCTAATTTATTGAAAGAGAAATGATTTCCACATATCTTTATTTATTTTTGTTCATTTTTCTCCTATGATTCACCAATCAAATAAGAGTGCGCAAGAAAAAAAAAAAGACGCTTGGCAGAATCACTTCCCCTGCTGAAAAGCAGAAATGAAACTGAAACGCAGAAATGAAACTGAAATGCTATAATTTTTGTTAAGGTACTTACGAGACTGCACTGCCCTGACTGAAAACTTGATGTTTTTGTTTAGGCCTACCTGCCATCTGAAACACCTGAGCTACTACACCCTTACAGGGAAGATGAACTTGTTAATCTCCGAGGGAGTGGATCAGGCGAACTAAAGGAGTGGGACAGAGTCTATGACTATGCTTATTACAATGATTTAGGGAGTCCAGACAAGGGTCCAGAATATGCCCGCCCTGTACTTGGTGGGTCGAACGAGTATCCATATCCAAGAAGAGGAAGAACTGGTCGAGAACCAACTAAAACCGGTTCGTAACCTAAATGGCTCATTTTACTAATCAAGTCGTGACTAAGTTAAAATATGGCGACAACACGTACAGCATGAAGCATTCCTTACGGTTCTATCTATGACCAATTTTCTCTTATGCTTTGTACAGACCCCAATTCCGAGAGCAGACTGCCGCTTCTAAGTCTAGATATTTACGTTCCGAAAGACGAGCGGTTTGGCCACGTGAAGTTTTCAGATTTTCTTGCCTATGGCCTGAAATCCCTGGTTCAAATATTGCTTCCAGAACTTAAGTCTTTGTGTGATAAAACTATCAACGAGTTTGACACCTTTGAGGATGTACTTAATCTCTATGACGGAGGTATCAAGCTACCAAATGGACCTACTCTCAAGAAAATACGGGAGTGCATCCCTTGGGAGCTGCTTAAGGAACTGATTCGCTCAGATGGCGAGCGATTTCTCAAGTTTCCAATGCCTGATGTGATTAAAAGTACATAAAGATATTTTTTTCCCCTGTGACATGGTTTTAGATATGCTACATTCCTATATTGTTGAACATAAATCGTATTCAACTATGAATTTTTCCTGATATAATTGCAGGAGATAGGTCTGCATGGAGGACAGACGAAGAGTTTGCACGAGAAATGCTAGCAGGGGTGAACCCTGTTAACATCACCCGCCTCCAAGTAAAATATACAATTTTCCATGGTTCATATTACAATTATAGTGGCATGGATTTGTTCTAAGTTGTCCAAATAATCACCAAAATTTTAACTACAGGAGTTTCCCCCAGTTAGCAAGCTAGACCCAAAAGTGTACGGGAATCAGAACAGTTCGATAAGAGAAGAGCACATTGCAAGCAACATGAATGGCCTCACGGTTAATGAGGTACAAATGATGCTTCATTTGTTTCCAGTATATATTTTATACGATTATAGTCTGTGTTTTTAAATCTATGTACTGAAATAATCATTTTTGTCCCATTTTGCGCAGGCAATTGAAAGTAACAGGCTTTTCATATTAGATCATCATGATGCATTAATGACATACCTGAGGCGAATAAACTCTACGCACACAAAGACGTATGCCACCAGAACTCTCCTCTTGCTCCAAGAAGACGGGACATTGAAGCCTTTGGCAATTGAGTTGAGCTTACCACATCCACAAGGGGACCGTCATGGTTGTGTCAGTACAGTCTTCAATCCACCAGGACAAGGCAAAAAAGGCATCGAGGAGTCGGTGTGGCAGCTTGCGAAAGCTTATGCTGCTGTAAATGATTCTGGATATCATCAGCTTATCAGCCACTGGTACGATGTCTAACATAGAAAGCGACATATTTTATCATCAGGTAGCAGTTTGGTTCTAGTTTACATGCTAATAATTATTATTTGCAGGTTAAACACACATGCTGTGATAGAGCCATTTGTGATTGCAACACATAGACAGTTGAGTGAGCTTCACCCGATACATAAGCTTTTGCATCCGCACTTCCGGGACACAATGAACATAAATGCCCTGGCCAGGCAAATCCTCATCAATGCTGATGGGGTACTTGAGAAAACAGTCTTCCCAGGTCGATTCTCCATGGAAATGTCAGCCGTTATTTATAAGAGCTGGGTATTCACCGACCAGGCATTACCTGCTGACTTATGCAAGAGGTAAGCCAGAAAGCCTAAATTGAAAATAATAAGATTTGAACTTCCATCAAACTGAATATCATTTCGCTTCTGGTCTATTTCAGAGGAATGGCAGTTCTAGATAAGACCTGTCCTCATGGCCTCAGACTTCTGATTGAAGATTACCCATTTGCTGTTGATGGGCTAGAAATCTGGTCGGCGATTCAAACTTGGGTTGATGAATACTGCTGTTTGTACTACGAATCAGATGATGCGGTCCAAGTTGATTCTGAACTCCAGGACTGGTGGACAGAGCTTCGCAATGTAGGCCACGGTGACAAGAAGAATGAACCATGGTGGCCTAAGATGCAAACAAGAGATGAACTTATTGAATCATGTACCATAATTATATGGGTGGCTTCTGCCCTCCATGCAGCTGTCAATTTCGGGCAATACTCTTATGCTGGTTACCTCCCTAACCGCCCAACTGTAAGCCGACGCTTCATGCCTGAGGCAGGCACTGCTGAATATGCTGAACTTGAGTCCAACCCTGACGCAGCTTTCCTCAAAACAATTACAGCTCAATTGCAAACTCTCCTTGGTGTATCTCTGATAGAGGTTTTATCACGACATTCAACTGATGAGGTTTATCTTGGGCAAAACGATACTCCTGAGTGGACTTCAGATGCTGAAGCACTAGCAGCATTTGCAAGATTTGGAGAGAAGCTGATGGACATCGAAAAGGGAATCAATGAAAGGAACAAGGATATGAGATTGAAGAACAGAGTTGGGCCTGTAGACATGCCTTATACCTTGCTCTATCCTAACACATCAGACACGAGCAGAGAGGGTGGACTCACTGGAAAAGGAATTCCCAACAGTGTCTCAATCTGAACCTTTTGATCTGTATACTAGATGAATATTTTTGAAGTAATAATAGTGTGACATCGTACAATGGGAGTGAAAGACTACCAAATAGGTTTTTTGTAATTCTCATATTCTTTTCTATAATCTTGTACCTAAGTGATGGTGCAGACGGCACTATCTTAGTAATGTGCATTAGTTGTGCAGCTGTAAACATATGCTTCCCTGAAATCAAGAACTCGTGAAACCTACGGGTTGTGCCTCTCTCGGACTCAAATTATTGTTTTCCCCTCAATATCTATTATATAACTTTGAAGCCAAATGTAACTGTGAATCAAAGCTAGAAACAACCCAAAGATGAACACTATTAAACAGCTATGGCATTTGCCAGACGCAAACACTGTCACTAATTTGCCAACAGAAGACTCAAAAAAGTAACTTGTGAAAGTTCAGATGCAGATCCAGAATTTCAATAAAACGAGCAAATATTAGTGTGATAAGCAACTATGAGAAGATAAAAGACAATGTTGCTATCTTGAAAAGAAAAAATTCACCCACCATCTCATTGAAAATCCAATTACTTGCTCTAATAGTCATTTTTGAACTCCCCAATTCCCATCTTTTACATTTCACTTATCTGTATATATGTCTCTTCTTTTTCACTCACTCACAGTTCCCTTTCTTCCAAGGTTTATGTCGAAAATCCCATACGAAAAATTGACATCAATAAATTACAATATATAATATACATGGTTTCGTTCCTAATTATCCCGAGATCTTTTATGGTAAAACCTGTTAACTACATTGTAGTGTTTGGGAATTGAAAGGAAAATCAAGAAGAAAGATGAAGAGAAGAAAGATCAATACAGAGAGTTTGAGAGAGAGAGAGTTTAGAGAGAGAAATAGGATTTGTATTAACTTGTCAAATGAAGATTACACATACTGTTTATATAGAAATCCTAACCACTTTAACCAAATACTAACTACCTAACTATATTACATTCGTACCCTTAATACTCCCCCTCAATCTCAACTGGGGAAACCCAGTTTGAGATTGGACGAACATCTGCAATCACTGCTATTAAACTATAAAACAGAACACAGAGTTGAACCAACTGGAGTCTTGCAATCACTTGAAACTTCAAAGGCTGTTTTTAATGAAGTCACATCTCAGGACACCATTTTGGGGAAATCTACTGCTTCAAACTTTCTTCTCAACCGAGACATTCTGACAATCAGAAATGCAATTAACCAATTTCACAGTATCATCACAAACAGAAACACCACCCTTATTTCCCATGATCCAATTCTTTAAGCCTGGTGATTGAACCTCAATGTAATGGACTTCTGAACATGGCGACGAGAACTTTCTTCTGTTCCTGATTTTCTAGACTGTTGGCTTTTTAAAGTTTCGCCCTTGTCGATGTAATACAATCCCGAGTAAGGCCATTAAAATTTTCCATATGAGCCGATTTCTCTATATGTTGGCTTTTCAAGCAACATCTTTCTTGGTCAGCCACTTGTGAGTTTGCAAATTTGCTATAATCCTGACCTCAATCTTTTCGATCTTTTCCTCCAAATTAGCCCCATTGTCTCACTGTTGTACTGACAACAATCCACCACAGAAACAGTCTCCAATCTATCAGTTGATCTTTCTGCATTCGTCAATCGTGACATCTTTCCTCTGCCTTCTAATAGGATCAGATTCATTGTTGTGGCTGAGCTCTATTCAGATTTATAGAATACAGAAGCCATTCCCCTGTCCAAATCAATCATGCACATTTCAAGAGTGTACACAGGTTCAAAGTTCTACTGGTTTTTCATCTGCATTACCGACTTCTTCCGGTTTAACCCAGGCTCTTATTTCAAACATGTAAAATATGTCTGGAACTTCACAGACCCTTGATATGATTTCTAATTTTCAAAGCCAAATGCAACAGATAGTTCCACAACAGCAGTGGCAGCAGCAAGGATATATCCCAAAACTTGTCCAATCTCCACTAAAATAGCAGCAACAGTAACCAACTCAGTCGCAGTCCTCTCAAAAATCTATTAAGCACATATTAAATCTTAACAAACCTTCTATGGTGAAATCACATCCATCTAGTCTTCAACAGAATCAACAATCTCCCATTCATCAGTCAACACAATCTATGCTTCAGCAGCATCCACAGTCATCAAACAACAAGCTTTACAATCACAGAAATCAAGAAACACAACCCTCTTCGGCAATCGGCCTTTAATGAAGAAAGGGAACAAGAACTGCACTCCGGCAATCGGCCTTAATGGAGTTGCACACAATAACGACAAACAAAAACTATTCAAGAACGTTACTCCGGCTATCGGCCTTTAAGGAGTAACACACAATATCTGAAACATAACGTTTCACTCCGGCTATCGGCCTTGTGGGGAAACAAACAACTTACACACACTTCTGGCTATCGGCCTTTTTGAAGTGGGTCATAAAAGGGAAATGGCTATCGGCCTCTCTATCCCACCAAACACCTCATTTATCTACAATTTTCATGATTTCAACACTTATGGCTATCGGCCTCTAACAATTATGCAATTTGAAGCAAAAAACTTTGACTGCGACATTCCATCAAACACATAGAGTGCAAGATAAAGGAACCTGACATTCTGCGAACCTTGAATCTGTATCCCAACTAGAGAAGATATGAACGAAGATATACCTCTGTTTCGATCAGAAATCAAATATTTTCTTACTGAAACATTTAATCAAACAGATTATGTGCATTGTGAAAACCCAGAAATCAAGAACCTGATAAGAACTTCAATCTTGACCCAAGAATGCTAAGAGAGAAAACCAGAAGTCTCTCATCGATCTAAGGCAAAATATGGAATAAGAACAAGATTCAGCCTGACAACGAAAGAAACGAACCCTTTCGAGCCCAGCAATAGGATGATTCGGGACCAATCGACCATGTTCTTGGCTTCAGAAACATTAGAAACCATGTTAGAATTGGAATCGCAGGCCGGCGATAAGATAAGAAGTCCCTAATCAACGATTGCCGGCGATCAGCGCCCTCGCACCGCTAATCTCCAACGGTCATTGCTCCACCATTTGCTGTTTCTCCACGACGCGTCGTTTTCAGGGCCTCGGGACCTTGGCGGTCCTGCTGATCTCATAAATCAGTATAAGCTTTGTCGTCATCATGAATTCTTTTGCAAGAGATCACTGCCTTTGTCAATATCAGAGACTCATTATCTACATAATGTGGTGGGAGACACATCAATCAAGAACACCGAGAATCGAAATCCCATGAAACAGATTCGGGTACCACACTTCTTCTCTCAGGCTTTCCTTCGAACACCTTGTGAACATGACTCAGGGTACTTACTTGCCGACTCTGCATCAGAACAAGAAATTCAATCCCCAAAATCGATGAGAAGTAAAGATCGGTGAAAATCAATCACGTTCAATAGAGAAATCTCTGATCACAATCCAGAAAGTTCAACCTAGAAGTAAAACAACGATCGCGGAAGCACTCAAAAATTTATTCGAACATCTAATGAAAATTTGGAAAGAACTAAGCTAGAAACATATGAAAAATAATGGGAAGTGGAACCACCAGAATCTATGGCGTGAGCCTGGTGGCTCTGATACCATGTTAACTACATTGTAGTGTTTGGGAATTGAAAGGAAAATCAAGAAGAAAGATGAAGAGAAGAAAGATCAATACAGAGAGTTTGAGAGATAGAGAGTTTAGAGAGAGAAATAGGATTTGTATTAACTTGTCAAATGAAGATTACACATATTGTTTATATAGAAATCCTAACCACTTTAACCAAATACTAACTACCTAACTATATTACATTCGTACCCTTAATAAAACCTTACTCACGTTGGGCTAAGAGGTGGTTAGTTTGAGCACTATTGGTGTTCAACAGTTGGCCCATCTCTATGGAATTTGACAGTTTATACCAAGAAAACCTATCAAAACCCATATTCCATGTAACGTGACAATAACAAATTTAGAACCACGAACCAGTACAAAATTCTATATTAACATGGCTAAATAGAACATGGAAAATATATTTCAATGGGAAAAACAAAGGAAGAAGCAAATATGGGTTGTTTCTAATACACTTTCAAACGCATAGAGAAAAAAAGAATAAAAGAGAGAGAGTGAGAGAGAAGACTTACTCCATATACAGTGGGAACTGGAGAAGATTGAAGCTGTTCATCGCTTGAGGGCTTGGACTTGGAGCAGAAAACCACAACCGGTCGCATTTGCAGTATTCTACTTGCAAATTAACAATGATTCTCCCCTGTTTCATGCCACTCATCCATTCGTTGCATGTGCCACGTGTAATGCTTGACTTATCATGGATTATTTTAGTTAACTATATTTCACACCTTTCACGTATGGGGGTGGTTTCCAAAATTGGCCATGAAGTTTCGATTTTATCATTTTAATCACAAGGTATTGAAGTTATATCAAGTTACGCTTTTGATTGGGATTGATTTTTCATCCTTCATTAAATTGATGAAATAGTGAGAATGAGAACCTTATATATAGGCTAACAAGTTAGTTTCATTTGTACCATTAACAAACAAAAAAAAAAAAAAAAAACTAATCAATTTAATGGAGGATTATATGTTAATAAAAAAGGTATATGTTGAAACATTTTCAAAATGGTGCAATGTCACAAAACTTATATCTCATGGTCCATTTTGAAAATCAACTAAAACTTGAAGAGTGTAAAATATAATCAGCTCTTGTTTTTTAATAGCATTATGAACTCATCTAGCTTAGTATCAGTAATAATTTGGGACGCGTATTCAAAATTGACACTTGTATTAAAAAATGATAAATTAGGTTTTCATCTCTCATTTTCTTTTCTCATTAATTGAACCTTATTCCACTTCCATTTTTATCAAGGTCATTGACTTTTATCCACCCCATTGAGTGTTTTAGGTACTCAAGTAGACGATGCATCAGATCTTCATGGATGAAGTAGAAGCATGGTCTAAAATATCTATAATATCCTGATATTTCCATCGAAATTTCCTTGTTTTTGGACTACCGATATTTCCGATATTATCGATATTTTAGACCTTGCTAAGTCACTCATGTATCTTACCATGCAATGTATAAAGTGTAAAATATTGTACTAATTCATTATATATAAACGATTATGGTGTGTTTAAACTTTTTTCATTAATTACTACATATTTTCTACACTCACAATGTTTGCTAGCTCGCTATATAATCAATTTAAATCAGTTATATCTATC